GATGCTGGTAGTTTGTTATCTGGTCTGAGGCTGGGCCTGGCTGGCAGTGCAGTGGGGATGCTGGTAGTTTGTTATCTGGCCTGAGGCTGGGCCTGGCTGGCAGTGCAGTGGGGATGCTGGTAGTTTGTTATCTTTCTCGCATCTTGGTGCCCTTCTCTCCTCACTGGCCACTTCTCTTTAGTGTCTTTTGCAGGACCCTTCTTTGGATGCAATTTTGGAAGCGACCCAAGGCTCAGACCCTGGACCCCTGGCTTCTGGGGGGGCCCTTCTGGGGTGCAGTTGGCAATGTCATCCCAACCCTTCCCATGCTTATCTATTGCACTGCTTGTTTGCCAGCCCTGTCCAGGTCGCCAGTGGTCATCTCAAGTCCAGCATGTCTACCACTAAGGCCCCTCAAACGTTCCGTCCTATGGTCTTTCCCTCAGTAAATGATAGTTCCAGTTGCATAGGCCACAAGTCTTTTTTTATTATATTATTATTTTTTTGGCTGGGGCTGGGTTTGAACCCACCACCTCCAGCATATGGGGCCAGCACCCTACTCCTTGAGCCCCATGTACTACCCAGTCTTTTTTTTTTTTTTTTGGCATTTTTTGGCCAGGGCTGGGTTTGAACCCACCACCTCCAGCATATGGGGCCAGTGCCCTACTCCTTGAGCCCCAGGCACTGCCCCAGGCCACAGGTCTTGCAGTTAACCTCAGTGTTCCTCTTTCCTTACATCCCTCACCAGAATCCATCAGCAGAGGCTGTCGGTCCTCTTCTAGATTAGGATACCCAGTCTGACGTCTCAGGTCCTCTCTGGTTGCCCCCAGTCTGGTCTGATGCCTCCTGACGAGGCTTTCTGCCCTCCTCTGTTGTCCTGCAGTCTGTCACTCAGCCCAGCGCAGAGTGGCTTTTAAAGGCCTGGGTCAGATCCCATTGCTCTCCAAACCCTCCAGTACCTCCCATTGCAGGCAAACTGGCAAAGACTGTGGAGTGGCCTGTGAGGCCCTTTGTGATCTGCCCCAGGCCCACTGCAGCTGGCAGGTTGTGTCATAGGCTCAACCCAAAGAGTCTTTGCTCTTTCTAGTCCTCAGCCCATACTGCCCTTTCCCAGTCTCTTTCCTCATTTCCATCAGTTCCCTGCCCAAGTTCCATCCTGTGAGAGCATGTGACATGCTCACACCCCTCCTTCCTGCGTGCCTGCTCTGTTGCTCTCAGCACTGGCCTGTCTCTGACACACCGAGGGGCTCTTGGCACCTGTCTCTCCCTCCTGAGACTGCTCACTGTGACCCTCCTGGTCCTCAGTAATTCCTTGTGAAATAGACAAGTGAATCAAGTGATTTCCAGACATTTCAGTTTAGAGTATACGGTCTCCCTTTCTCTGCTCTAGTCCTGCTCTTCTGTCTCTCTCAGTGGGGACCTTGCTAAGCGGTGGCCCTTCCTGATGGCACGGCTCACATGTCTTGCTTCTCACGGGCAGTCACCTTTGCCTGCCAGCTCCCGTATCTGGATTTTTCCATCTTGCTGGTTTACCTTTCTCCCAATCCCTGTACCAGAGGTGGTGGGCGTAGTAGTAACTGCTTCTTGGCTGAATCCCCAAATCACTCTTAGCACTTGTGAATGTTTGTCTGAGCCTGTCCTCTCTCTTGGGAGATTCCTGTGGGCTGAATGGCACCCTGTACGAGGTGGCCAGGAGTGTGATGTGAGGCTTGTTAAGCGGTGCAGAGGGCCAGGTCTGCGGTGCACTTTAGGTGCTTAGTAATCAGTTCTCATGCCACTTCCCTCGCTCCCCTTTGCTGGGTCTTGCTGGGATGGTTTAGCCTTGGGACAGTTGCTTCTTACTCATTTGGTTACGGATATTTGTCTCAAGTTTTGAGTTTATGACAATGAACTTTTTAGTTTCTTAATGAAGAAATTAAAGTAATCTCTTAATGGGCAATTTAAAAGATAGAAGTATTACATGCTTATGACAAAATGTTAAGCAGAATAGAGGATGTAAAGTAAAAAGTTTAAAATCCCATGCTCCAGAATCAAAGAATAACTATTTTTATGTCTTTTATGAATATTTTGAAATTACTGTTTCTTAACCTGTGCTTTTAGATATTAGAAAGGTAGACTTGTCAAAAAACCTGTTGTCATCGTGGGATGAAGTGGTAAATATCACTGATGAGCTCAGATGCCTGGAAGTTCTCAATCTCAGGTATGAACTGCAGGTGCTTAACTGTCACTGGGAGATCCTGAACTCCCCTTGCCCGTCATGGTGTCTGTGCGGGGAGGAGGGGGAGATGGGGGAGCCGGCTGGTAGACATTTTAATTCAGGCAGATTTGGGCTTATTTGAATTTATCTAAATTTAACTTAGTCTTCAGGTTCACACTGATTGTTATAGTCTTGCAAATGGTCATACGAGGTGATTCATTAATAAGGAATAGATTTTGCCTTTGAACATGTGGGGATGAGGTCGGTTGACCTTGAGCTGGAAGAGCTGCATATTTCTTATAGCCTGTGGAATGCGGAGGAGTAGGAGAGGTGATACTACTAAAAGCAATTGTTTATTTGGAAGCTTTAGCATTTAATTGCTTTAGGAATAAGTTGACTGGGATACTACTTAGTTCAGTTTTGATAAGGATTTTTCACTAATATACCTGTTTTTACTAACATCACAGTTTTCTAGGCCTTCCTGAATATTTGATTAGTTTAAATCTTAGAACCTAACTTTTCCAAGGGTATAGCCAGGCTTCCCCTTTCCTATTTGAACTGAGGTAGAGTACAGTAGGTAGTCAGGCCTCAGTTATAATAGTCGGTGCTCTCAAACAGAACAAACAGGGGCACTTGACCCATGGTGTCTCTTCAGGAAATGTGGGCTCGTGCTTTTTAATAGTGTCTTCTTTCAATGTGACTATCAAGATCAAGTACTTTCTGAGATTAGGCCATTAAGAGAATTTAAAGGACAGTAATTGCTTTTCTCCATCCTTCTAGCCAGAGGGCAGACTCTGTGTTTAGAGAAGCAGAATTCTAGCCCATGATCTAGCCTGTCAGGAAGACTCCTGAGACCAGGACTTCACTTTGCAAGTCCAGAGTGGTGCTGGAAGCTGACTTGACAGATGCCTGGGCTGTAGGTTTCAGGAAGCCCACAGTCCCAAACAGCCGCCCTAACCTTGTAAAATTATCTTTGCATGTCAGGGACTAAACAGTTGTGTATTATAAATAGTAAAAATTAGCTCATCTTAACTCACTGTTTTTTATTTTATTTAATTATTTAAATTATAGCTGTGTACATTAATGCAGTCATGAGGTACAGTGTGCTGGTTCTATATACAATTTGAAATACTTTCATCAAACTGGTTAACACAGCCTTCATGGCATCCTCTTAGTTATTGTGTTAAGACATTTATATTCTACATTTAGAAAGATTCACATGTACCCTTGTAAGATGCACCATAGCTGTGGTCCCACCAAACACCCTCCCTCCACTGATCCTCCCCCTTCCCCTCCCCGACTCACTGTTTTTTAATAGGATTTCATTTTAATGTTGAAACAAATCAGACCCCTCAGATTAAATCCCAAATTGCCGCTCTTGGTTTTTTCAGTTGGGCGTACTGTACAGCAACAAGTACACTGCATTTTCTTTTTCCACACAGTGAAAATAAACTGAAATACCCCTCTGGGTCAGCCTCTGTCACTGGAACGTTTTCAGCACTGAAGATTTTAGTCCTCAATCGAGCAGGAATAACATGGGCAGAGGTAATTACATTTCTTTGGTTTATTACCAAAGAATTTCTTTTTTATTTAATAGGGGATTATAGTACGAATGTGGCTTCATTTTATAAAGAAATACTGTATTTAAGTAGAGCTTTATTATCTAGGAACCCAAATGCTCTCCGGTCATTTTGGTTTGTTCTAGCATCTTTCCTTTTTATTTATTTATTTTTGAGACAGAGTCTCAAGCTGTCACCCTGCATAGAGTGCCGTGGCATCACAGTTCACAGCAACTTCAAACTCTTGTGCTTAAGTGATTCTCTTGCCTCAGCCTCCCAAGTAGCTGCGACTACCAGTGCCCACCGTAACGCCTGGCTATTTTTTTGTTGCAGTTGCTATTATTGTTTTAGCTGGCCTGGGCTGGGTTTCAACCCACCAGCCCTGGTGTACATGGCCAGTGCCCTAAACACTGAGCTACGGGCAC